CTGGATCAGGCCAGTGCGGAGACGGAAGAGGGACTGGTAGTTACTGAGGACTGAGGAGAGGAAGGAATAGGAGTTATTGTGGAAGGGGGGTGAGGTTTCTGCTCGGAGTGACGTCAGACTTGGAAGTGGAGAGGGATGGTGGCAGCGCAAGACGGCGCAAAGAACTACTGTCGCCGACTTGTACACTTAAAAGAGTCAAAAGGGCGAACTTTGTTGTATTTAATTTACCCCAATAAAATGAAAATTTAAAAAGTTATGAACCTGTAAAACAATATTAGTCAGTTAATAACAAGCACGACCGCAATGGTGAGGAGATAGGAGAAAAGACAAGCGGTTGAGGGCGGTGTCCGAGTAACATTTTAATCTTGTTTTGAAAAAGCTTACTTGGTTAGCTTGGGAAAGACAGCGGAATTTGATCATTGGATTTTGCTTTCTAACTAATAATTTTTTTTTGTTCTACTTTAGATGAAGGTTTACAGAACAAACAGTTTCTCATTCAACCGTTAGTACACATATTGTTTTGTGACAATGGTTAACAACCCCACGACATGTCCACGCCATCCTTTCTCGACCTTGGGTTCCCTATTACCAGCTCTCCTGTCCCCTCCTGCCTTCTAGTCCTCGTCCCTGGACTGTTGTGCCCCATTAGTCTCGTTTTGTTTTATGGGGCTGTCCAATCTTTGGTGAACAGTGAACCTCAGGAGTGACTTCACTACTCAGCTAAAAGGGTATCCGGGGGCCATACTCTCAGGGTTTCTCCAGTCTCTGTCAGGCTTCTAACTAATAATTTACATAAACGAAGCACAAACATTTTTGGAAGTCCTCTTGAATCATTTTTTTCCTAAGGGGAAAAACTCAGTTTCTTGTTTTGGAAACAGGGTAGCATGCGTTTAATTTTGAGGAGCAACATCGCCGTCTGGTGGCCTTCTAGAGTATTGATGCTAAGGGTTTACTTTTGTGTTCTTGTAACCATGGGCCTAAGTTACATAATGTTTTGTTCCTTCCCGAGGGCTCCATCTGGTCTGCAGGTGGGCACTTCCTCCTCTGAAGGGGAATAAAGTAGCCAGCACCGTGTTCCAACATGTGTAACTAGAATCTGCTGTGAGTTCCTGAGACTTTTTATTGTGGAGGTTGCTTAGCCGTGGTTAATGTCATTTCATTTTTTTCGGTCATTTTGCCCTGTTTGCATTTTGGAATCCTACTGACAAATTAGCTTAGTTGTAGCATTTACTCTGGTGTTCGAGCACTTTTTGGAGTCATTAATGTGACAGACAGCGTTTGGTTGGGGGCAGTGGGTGCCTGGGCAGCGGCGATAAGGATTTCTGTAGGAGTTCAGAGTGGGTCTGACTAGGCTAGGTGCTTTCTCGCTTGTTTGGGGGCTTCACAACGATGTGGATCCCTGGGTGGTACAAGCTGTTAACATGCTCGGCTGCTAACCGAAATGTTGGGAGATTCGAGTCCACACAGAGGTGCCTCAGAAGAAAGGCCTGGTGATCTATTTCCAAAAAGTCAGCCATTGAAAATCCTATGGAGGGCATTCTCCTCTTGCACACTTGGGGTCACCATGAGTCGGAATCCGCTTGACGGCCGCTGGTTATACAACAACATCGTAAACCCTCAGTTCAGTGCTGTTACCCTCGCATGTATTATTCCCTGCCACTCAGAGTTCTCCAACCTATGTGGCTAAGGGGTCTTCACGGTGAGGGGAGTCCCACAGCTGATGGTCACCTTGAGATTAAGGCTTGTGGGGAACATGGTGGGGGGTCAAACAATGCAGAAGGGGGTTATCCAGGGTTGGGGGCCAGTGACCCCAGTGCTGTGACCTGAAGGCTGCGGCAAAGGCAGGCAGATGAGGAGCCGGGAGGGTGCACCAGGGTGAGGGTGCCCGACGTAACTAAAACAGAAAAAGCGGATGCCTGGTTAAACTTGAATTTCAGATACACCACGAATACTTTTTTCTTATGAGTATGTCCCATGCAGGGACCCAGCGCTGGGTGGTCCCGGCAGGCAGAGCCGGGAGGGGCTCTGAAGACCGGATCCCAGCTGGCAGGCACTGGGCAGGTCTCTGAACTCTTGGGACTTCCGAGTCCTTGTGACAATGTGTTTCTTCCAGCTTTGGATGGCTGCATATCACGCGTGAATGGCAAGCCCTGGCTGGAGAACTTTTTTCCTGTAACAATTTTAAAATGTTTGGAGGCAGGAGCAGGTGTGTGCAAACAGACACCCCGCCCTCCCCCAGAATGTGCCGCTGGCCTCGGGTGCATGGTCCCTACCAGATCTGGACCCAGGACCAGTCCAGCCGCCCAGCTTGTTCCCTTTATCTCCTCACACAAGTTAGTGCCGGCCCTGGCTGGGCCCACCCGACAGGGCAGCCTGCTGCCGGCCCCGGCTCCTCCATCTCCCACCAAACCCCACCTTGTCTGGAGGGCTGCCTCATACCCACCTGCCTAGGCGTCTCGGGTTTCCTTCCTTCCCGGAGCCTGTGTGGTGGTTATTAGTAGCTGTGGAGTCGATTCCGACTCAGGGCGACCCCATGTGCGCAGACTAGAACTGCTCTATAGGGTTTTCAAGGCTGTGACCTTTCAGAGGCAGATCTCCAGGCCTTTCTTCCAAGGAGGTGCCTCTGAGTGGGTTCAAACCACCAACCTTTTGGCTAGTAGTTGAACACTTAACCATTTGTACCACCAGGCACTCCTTCTCTGAGCCTAGTATGTCTTGAATGTCCTTGTTCCCCTTCCTTTAGCTGCCGCTTCCTTGTCCTGCCAAACTCAGCCCGCTGTCGCCGCTCTGGGAGACCATTCCAGTACATCTCCCCCACCCCTTCTCTGATTCTCACGGCCCTCCTTGTCCACTCTCATCCTGGGGCTTGTGGCGGTGACTCAGGGTGGAAAGCTCCAGGGTGGGACTGGATCGCATTTGTCTTGTAGCCCTAGCGTCTAGCACAGGACCTGAAATGTCCCATCACAGTAAATGCTTGTTGGCTGAATTGATTCAGGAGTTGTTGGAAGGACTGCGGCTGCCCTCTGGCTGGTTTGCTGGGGGTTAGGTCTGTCTTCTCACGTGGAGAACTTTCCTTCCCTGAAGGCCAGGCACAAGTGTTCAGAGCAAGTGTCCAGAGGGAGAACATAGTTCATGGAACGGTTGAGCCAGGCCTCAGGCCGCCTGGTGGCCAGAGGAGGGGGGTGTTTGTAGGATTGGGGGCAGCCGCCAGGCGGCCGGGGTGAAGAAAGAAGGCGTGTGGGTGAGGGAAGGGGGGATTTCTGCTACGTTTGCCTTAGGCTAGAAGAGACCTAAGATCCTTGGTTGTCCAAATGGAAAGACCTGGAAGGCATAGAGGTTGGGAACCTGGAAAGGAGGAAAGGAGTGTTGAGGAAGGGCTCAGGGCGGAGCTGGAGGGCGGGGCTGGAGCTGGGGCGGAGTTGGGGGCGGAGCTGGAGCTGGGGGGCGGAGCTGGATAGAGACAGCCAAATCAGAATCAAATCTACATGCTGTTTACCCAGAAAGTGAAGAGACTGATAAGAGGTTATAAACATATCCTCCTAAACGGATAAAAGTTATAAAATTGTGAATCCCGAAGGGATAACCTTAGTTATTCAGAAATCCACGGTGTAGGGAGAACCACAGCCGTGTTCCCACGATGTGAGTAAATGGGGGCATTGCTGTGTGTAGTTTGTTACAGAGGTTTTTAAATACTTGATTCTCATTTGCTGTCCCTTATAGTTCACATTCTTGTCCCCTGGTTCCATCACAAGCCTTTTAAATGTGGTCATCTGAAGAACTTGACGTCTCTATAGATGTATAGTACTTGTACCCTGGTGATTTCACAGCCATTCCATGGTTGTGAATTACTCCAACTGTCCAAAAGCCGAAACCCACTAGGTTCGGTCACTTGCCAAGTGTGTCGGTTATCTGGCACTGGGAACAGTGTGGAGGGATGGCGGGGACTTCAGGGACTTTGGGGAGCAGAGAGGGCTGGGGAGAAGCGGGGCCGGATCTCAGGGATTCTTGAGGGGCGCGGGGAGGAGCGCATGGTCGGTGGATATGGAGTCCCAGTGGCCGAGCTTTGAGGGGTGCTGGGAGGAGCACGGGCCCAGGAACCGCTATGTTCATTCATTCCCTGCTGGCGAGGCCGGCGCACAGGGGCGGGCCACCGGCAGAGGGACGTCCTCCGGGGCCAATCAATGGTCAGGGCAGGGTGTCCGGGCGGGCGGGGCCCCCTGCCGTAACCCTTTCCTGCCAGGGGTGGCTCTGTGTGGGCGGAGAGAGGGTCCCCGCTGGCGGTGCCTTTGCGGAGTCTGGTCCCCAGGGCTCCCCAGCTCCCCACCTGCCACGCTGCCCTGGGAGCGGGATGGGCCGAGCTGGAAAGGACCCCATGGGAGGAGCAGGGGGTGGCCTGTCCAAAGGCTGGACTGCTGGATGGGGGCCGGGGGGCGGGGGCCGCAGTGGGGGGCAGGGTGATGATCCCTTATGAGGTTCCGGTTACTGGCAGGTTTCCTGAGTCCCGCCCCTGGAAGCCCCCCCTCAAGGTGGGGGCTTTGCGTGGGGCGTGGGGTGGCTGGTGGGCTTGCTTGTGGCGTCTGGGACATGGCCCCGCTGCGCCGTCAGCCTTGGTCGCGTCCCTGACTCTCCCAGCAGGGTCACACACACACACCCCTCCCGGACCGTGGAGTCCCGCCCTTGGTCGGCCAGGCCGGCTGGGAAGCTGAATGTGGGCCCCAGATCAGGGACCTTCCAGAGAAATGAGGGACCAGTGGGAACTAGAACTGCAGAACTAGGTGCGGGTGGCAGTTCTCAAGGTGGAAGCTGATGTCAGGGGGGCCGCCATCCTGGTTCTGGGCTGGGGGCTGGGTCTGGAAAGGTGGGAGACACGCTACCATCCGCCCACCACCCAGTACGCCCCAAAAGACAAAAAGTCACCCATACTGATGATGGGTGCTGGGACCCGTTTCCAGCCCTGCCCTTCCACAGCACCCCATAATCCATCCTTTCTGATTCTCCAGGCTGCCAGCCAGGGAGCCCTGAGTGCCCTCGGGATTCTCCAGACGCCTCCACAGCCCTGTCCCTGCCTGGCCGACGTGGCACCATCACTGGCTCCGGCACAAGGTCGCTGCCGCTGTGGGGCCCGGTCATCTGGGGAGGGCTCAGGACCTGCACTAGGTGGCCCATGGGTCTCGGGGCTGGGTTGGGGGCCAGGAATATCATGAGCCCAGAGCCCCCCTCCCAGGAATCCAACAACATGGTTCAACTTTTGCCCCTTCAGCTTTGGCATGTCATTGGTCTCTGTGCCTCAATTTCCCCATCTGTAAAAGGGGCGCAGACTTCACAGCATCTGGAAGGATGGGTGAACTGAGCTCATGTCTCTAAAGTGCTTGTCCCCCATGCTTGGTGCCCAGTCACCCCAGTTACAATCCCTGTGAGCAGGTGCACTGGGCACTGCGCGGGCGGCTCCGGAGCCCCTCACCTGCAGTCCCAGTTCTGCTGCTGGTGGCTGCGGTTACCCCGACGTACCCGGGGGTCCTCATCTGTCAACTGAGTCATCGTGGGCTGGAAGATAAAAGGGACAAATTGTGGGAACAGCCCCATGCCTGGCCCAGACAAGGCCCTCGATACACAGGGACTCACAGTTATTGTACATGAGCCACCCAACACCCTCCGAGAGGGGCTTCATTTGCGCACCTCACGGGTGGGGGACATGGTGGGGTGATGCACCCAAGGCCCAGGGTTCTTCTCTAGCTCCAGTGGCTCCGTCCCCAGCCTCGACCCCATCTGCCCAGCCTCGATCCTCCATCCACCCCCGAGCCTGAGACCTATGGGCCTCCACTGACTGGGATTTTGCCTCCTCCATAGGAAGGAGCCGCTGGACTCCCAGGGTTGGGCCAGGCAGGAGGAGGAGGCGCTAACATCCATCGCCGGCCTGGGCGTGGCCTGTGGGCAGCCCTGCACCGGGATGCCCCTGCCCGAGCCCAGCGAGCAGGAAGGCGAGAGCGTGCGGGCCGGCCAGGAGCCTGCCCGAGAGCCCGGCATGGATGTCATCCCTGCGGCCCCCAGGATACCCAAGAAGTTCCCCAAGCTCGTCCTGCTCGCGGCCTCCAGCCACCGCAGACATGGGCTGGGCTCCAGGCCCAAAGGCACACACTGTGTAATGTCCCTGGAGATGTCTGGCCCTGATACCCTCGCTAGGACCCTCCAGGTCCTGCCAGCCGAGGAGCAGGATGCCATCCTGCCAAGTCCCCAGGCGCCTGAGCCAAAACGCAGCAGGCTGGATGCAGGTGAGGCTCCAGGGCTGGGCTGCCGGACCTCAGTTTGTAGGGTGCTGAGCAGTGAGAGTTAAGACCAAGTGTTGGCGTCCAGATGGTCCTGGGCTGGACTCCACGCATCCCCTTTTCTAGCAGGGTGCGCTTGGCGTCCCTCCCACTCTGAGCTGGGCCTCCTTGTCTCTGCTGACGACCGTGTCCTAGGCTGGTGTGGGGTGCGGCTCTGCCCAGTACAGAGCCCTCCTGAGCCCCCGAGAGTGGAAACGGTGTACAGGATCACGTCAGCCCCAGCCCTGAGAACCCAGCATCTGGCCCAGCAGCTCCAGGCGGCTCTGTGGGTCCCCTTCAGGTTGCGGGTCTGGGAGTGCAAGGAGGTCTCCCTGCCCCCTGCAGGCCCCGTCACCTACCCTCGCTCTCCTCCTCGTCCCTCAGCTGACGCCCCCCTTGCCCCCGCAGCCCCCAAGCCCCTGGAGTTCCTGAGGACTCCGTTCGGGGGCCGCCTGCTGGTGCACGAGTCCTTCCTGTACAAGCAGGAGAAGGCCGTGGGGGACAAGGTGTACTGGAAGTGCCGGGAGCACACCGAGCTCGGCTGTCGGGGCCGTGCCATCACCCGGGGCTCGCGGGTGACTGTGATGCGGGGCCACTGCCACCCGCCTGATGAGGAGGGCCTGGAGGTGCGGCGCCAAAGAGAGAAGCTGCCCAGCCCTGCCCTGCCAGAGGGCGTGGGGGGTCCCGGGGGCCATGCAGAGGAGCCGCTGGAGGGTGTGGGCCCCTGGCTGTGCCCTGAGGAGCCGGCCCCTGGGCTGGGCAGGCCGGCCCCGGAGGAGGAGGACGAGGGGCTCCAGGCCCTGTCACTGCTGAGCTTGCCCCCCAAGAAGCGTCCGACACCAGAGACAGGTGAGCACCCCCTTCTCCACCCCACGGCTCTGCCCACGCAGAGATGTGGAGTCCTGCCCGCTTTACGAATGCCTCGAAGTCAAAGGGACTTTAACAATATAAACGTCCCAGTAATCATTCAGCCCATGGGATGGGACTGCTGCTCCCGAACCGGCTGCCTGCGGAATGATCCGGGATCCCAGGTCCTTCTGGAATTTTCCGCTGCAGCAGGGTCTGGAGTGGGGCCCAGAAATCTGAATTTTCACTTAGTAGTCACTTAACCAGGAGCCCTGGTGGCACAGTGGTTAAGCGCTCTGCTGCGAACCAAAAGGTCAGTGGTTTGAACCCACCAGCCGCTCGCTCGTCTGGAAGAAAGGCCTGGAGACTACAGCCAAGAAATCCCTGCAGGGCGGACCTGCTCTGCCTTAGAGGGTTGCTAGGGTCAGAATTGGCTCGACGGCGCCCAGCAACACACCCGGCACCTAAGTTTGGGAAGGGTGGCCTGGCGGGAGAACCCCGGGCTTCGGGCCCCAGATTCAGGCCCAGCCCCACCTTGCAGAAGTCTCATACCGGTTGCCGGCAAGTTGACTCCAACTTACGGTGACGTCGTGTGTGTCAGAGTAGATCCGTGTTGCGTAGGGTTCTCAATGGCTGTGGCCCTTTGGAAGCAGATCTCCAGGCCTTTCTTTTGAGGCACCGCTGGATGAGTTCGAACCTCTGACCCTTCAGCTGAGCATGTTAACCGTTTGCACCTCTCAGGGACTCCCATTGGATTCAGGGCCCAGCCTAATCCAGTACTTCATCTTGATCCCATTTGCAAAGACCCTGTTTCCAAACAAGGTCACGTTCACAAATAACGGGTTAGGTCTTGAACGTCTCTGTTTTGGGGACACAATTCAACACTTAACAGGAGTGTACCTGTGGCTCCTCCGGCTCGGGGGATGCACATGGCAAGTGGACAGGAGAGAAGCGCGTGGCCGCCCCCTCTGTCCCCGGTTCAGAGCGAGCGTGTCCACATTCCCCCCCAGACCCCCCTTCCTCATGGTAACTGCCCTGGGTCCCCCCAGGTGAGGCACAGCCCCTGGAGTTCCTGAGGACCTGCTACGGGGGCAGCTTCCTGGTGCACGAGTCCTTCCTGTACAAGCGAGAGAAGGTCGTGGGGGACAAGGTGTACTGGACGTGCCGGGAGCACACGCTGCATGCCTGCCGCAGCCGGGCCATCACCCAGGGCCCGCGGGTGACCATCATGCGGGCCCACAGCCACCCGCCCGACGTGGAGGGCCTGGAAGCACGGCGGCAGCAGGAGAAGGCCATGGAGTCGCTGCAGGCACAGCCAGGTGGCCCCGTGGACAAGCTGCTCCGAGGCGTGGACAGTCTCTTGTACCGCAGGGGGCCCGGCTCCCTGACGCTCACCAGGCCCAGGCCCAGGAATCGCTCCAAGCCCAAAGATCAGGGGCTCCGGGACAAGCCCCCAGCCCCGCAGGGACCCCAAGCCGAGGACCAGGACTCAGACATGGGTGAGTCTTCATCCTTCTGGACCCTGGTGGCCACAGCTGGGCCCAGCCTCAAGCCAGCGGCCTGAGGTCCGGGGGCCAGTGGGTGGCAGGGTCAGGCAGCCCAGCCCCTCTGCCCCTGCATCCCACACCTCCCCGCCTTGTGCCCCACCCCCTGACCGTGTCTGGCTTCTCTGCAGGCGGCCCCGAGTTCCTGAAAACCCCCCTGGGGGGCAACTTCCTGGTGCACGACTCCTTCCTGTACAGGCGAGAGAAGGCAGCCGGCGACAAGGTGTATTGGACATGCCGGGACCAGGCCCGCATGGGCTGCCGCAGCCGGGCCATCACCCAGGGCCCACGGGTGACGGTGATGCGGGGGCACAGCCACCCGCCCGACCTGGGCGGCCTGGAGATCCTACGGCAGCGGGAGAATCACCCTGGCCCAGCCCAGCGTGGGAGCTCAGGTACTGGGAGCGAGGGGGCCGCTGGCGGGGCCTCTGGAAACAGGACAGCCTTTCACTCTGAACCTCATGCCTCCCGCTGGCAAGCATCCTCCCCTTTCCTTCCCAGGAACCTTCTGGAAGGAGTTACAGCCTCTCCTCTGGCTCTTCCCTCTCTTCCCCGTCCTCCAGTCCTCCGTTCTCCACCCGCCTCATTCCTTCTCCCCAGATCTCAGCAGTGTTTGATTAACTCATGCTCCTCCTCCTTTTCCTCCTCCTTTTTAAAAAGAGAATTTGCAGGACTTATTGTTAGCTGTCGTCAAGCCAGCTGTGGCTCAGGGCGACCTTGTGTGTGGCGGAAAGGAACGTTGCCCAGCCCGGCACCGGCTTCGTGATCATTAGTACGCTCGAGTCCCTTATTTTGGCTGTGTGTCAGGCCATCTCATGGAGGGGCTCTTCTGACCCTCTGCTTTACCAACCACGATGTGCTTTTCTAGCGATTGGTCTTTCCTGATGACGGGGACGCGTCCTCATAGTGTTTATAGAGGATGTTAATTGCACAAGGTGGTTTTCTGCTTTTTACAGCATAACTAGATAAACAGAGTTTCCGATAACAAGTGCACCCTACGGGGTAAGTGGTTAAAGCAGCACAGAGGTGATATTTACACACAGCTATTCCAGCTGTTGTCGGTAAATACCTGTAGCCGTCTTTGAGAAATCCATAACTAGGGTCACCGCTCCTACCTATCAGTTGCCTTTAAGTTGACTCCAACTCATGGTGACCCCACATGTGTCACAGTAAAACTGTGCTCCGTAGGGTTTCCAATGGCTGATTTTTTGGAAGTAGATAGCCAGGCCTTTCTTCCAGAGTGCCTGTGGGTAGACTCAAACCTCCAGCCTTCGGTTAGCAGCCGAGTGCTTAACTGTTTGCACCACCCAGGGATGGCAGTTGGTTTTAAGTGGAGTCACAGAGCTGTCCTGTCCCTCCTCCGTGCTGTCCGTCCTCCGTGCTGTCCGTCCTCCGTCCTGTCCGTCCTCCGTGCTGTCCGTCCTCCGTCCTGTCCGTCCTCC